CTACTACTACTACTACTACTAGTTCATATCAGACCTCGGCCACCTGCATGCAGCCCTCCTTGCCAAGCTTCCTTCAACCGCCTCAGGTATATATGGAACTGCAGGGACCCCTTGATCGAGTCGCCTTGGCTGCAGATGGTATTCATGCTTGTTGTTTGCAACCCGGGCGATTCGGCCTGCGTGTTTGCATGGTGTGAGTTATCTTTTAGGTATGCTTTTTCCTGTTGGTGGCTATCCTTGTAGCAAGGCTGGATCTCTCCGACAACGAGGCCGGCGGGCCTCGGGCGTCCGTTGTGAGATACTTCTACAGTTTCTCCAGCACAGGCAGCCCTACTGCTAAGTCCTGCCTTCATCCGATTTTGTTTAACCTGGAATCCGGGTATCAAGGACCCTCGACATGCCGACATTTGTGGGAAGCATCCCTCAAGCGGACGTGTCCGAAGTTGCTTTTAGCTCGAGAAACCATGGAGGGCAAGTGGAAAAGTTCCTTCGCAGGCCCGCAGCACCCCTGGCCTGGACCCACAAAGTCGGAAGCTTGGGAAACGGGATCCTGCGAGGTTCATGGAGAGCCTGGAGAGCAGGATGGCTTCAGTGGCCTCCTACGATGCCCCCTTGCCGTGCTTGCCTTTATGGCCCTGTAGGTTTGTTGGCTGCAGAATCCGTGTGACTCGCGTGACTTGGAGCTATGGTTTTTGAGGCTGATGCTTGGGTTTTGCGTTTTGCAGTTGAGCCTGGAACTTAGAAAGCGGGACTGCGTTGTTCAATTAGGCCTTTACGGTTGTATAGCTTGATCTGGGCGTGCCGTTCCAAGGCTTCTCGAAAACTCGAGTGGAGCTAATCCGCTTGCCTTGCCAGGTCTTTACAACCATCCCAGCTACCCGATGATGCAGGACGTTTTGAGACCACACCCTTTTGTATGGCTGCCGGCAGAGATGAAAGGCCAAAGCTCTCCTCCATGGGTCCAGGTTTGCAGAGGCCGAGTCTGAATTCGGTAGACAAGAACTGACAAGAACTCGCAAAAGGAGATGCGTGCAGGTGTCGATAAGATTGCCAAACTTCTAAACTCTCAACCCTACGCGTTTCTTCCACGCAGGAGCACCGGAAGGCAAGATGCCGAGCGTTGCTTGTGGGGGTAATTGCCGTGGGGATGTTCAATATCTTGCTCGAGATCCCGACGTGTTAAATTCCGTTCACAGCGGACCCTAGAAACTCTTCAGGTTGGGCAGCTGAGTTACCCACAGATCAACAGGGTCTGGTTGAGGCTTCAGGGGTGAGTATTTCAAAGTGCTGGTCAACCCAAAAAAGGCTTCATGGGACATGGGAGCTTGATGTGTGACATGGCTGGACGCTGCCGCAATCCTGCTGGGAGAGCGCCGTCGTGACATGGGATTCTGGCACGGGCGGTGACAGCAGTGCCGTGCGAGATCAGCCCAGCAACAGCTACGAGCAGCAAAGCAAACAGCTCGATACAGCTTACAACCCACACCCCAGGTCATGAGCCCTTGTCGTAGTTTTCAACCTTCGCCTCGGCAGGTCCACCCCTAAGGCCCTAAGGAAACCACGCTCGGGTTTTTTCGCTCCTGAACTCAATGATTTAAGCACACACAGACCCAACCCCAGGCGGCGCCGCTTCAGCTCCGCATGTCCGGGAACTACATCCGGGATGCGCAGCGCTGCAGCCCAAGCGTTTGGATGGAGATATTCTCGGTCCTTCGGGAGTGTTGGCATGAGTTTTCTGGATTTGGGGCTGTCTTCTTGCTGGTTCTGTGGGGCCGGATGGTGTGGGGTGGTCCGATCGCGATCCAGCATGTCTGCCGGCCAGGATGTGGGCCAAGCCGCAGGTCTCTCTTAAAAGTCTGAACAAAACCTCCAAACATTGTCCCCTATAGCCCCCAACAGCTGGGTACGAATAGGACTGGAGGTGGGAGATTTCTAGGGAAGCCGTCAAGGCTTCCGCAGCTGCAAGCAGCACTGAGTTTTCGAGAAGATTCTGGTAGTGAATCAGTGCGCAAGGGGTCCGACCTTCACGCGTGGGTCCTATCGCGCTTCCGCCCAGGTTTGTTGGACGACATTTTGGCGAACGGCTGCAAGGATGGCAAAGCGCTGATCCGGCTCTGCCCCAGCGCGGACCCGTGCTCCAAGAGATGAGTCGGAGATGTCGGAGACTGCGAGGATTTGCTAGCATCTAGGCCTTGTGGGAGACTGGAAGTCGAGGCTAGACCGGGGTGCTGTGGCCCCTGCATCACGCTCGTTGCCGGGTCCAGCAGGTACGTCCAGGAGCATGAGGAGTTTCTGTCTGTCTTCCTGCCCGACTTTCTGCAACAGAGGCAGGCTCCCAAAGCCACCAACCCGAGACCCTGGAAACATATAAATCTGGCAGCGGCAATTTCCAGGACCTAAAGGGCAGAAACTGAAACCGATACCAAAATAAGCACTGCCTGGGAATCGACAACTTCCTCACACCTATACTGAGCAAGAAGTCAGATAGACCCGCATCATCCTCCATCTGTAGACTGAGGAGAGAAAATAATGAGAGTCCTGCTTTGTTGTCCTTGCTGTTTGCAGAATTGACCCGGAATGTGCTCCGAAGCGTTTGGAACAGCCTTTGAGGTGTGCATGAGGACCTGTGCCACGGGCTATATAGATCCCTTCCCTTTTAGGTGTGCAAAGAGTTTGAACATCAGGAGCGGCAGAGAGGTAAGTTGTCTGCAACCCAGAGACTCAGACAGAGTGCCCGGCCAGTGAACAGAAGTCCCCCAAATGCGAGGGGTACGGATGGACAGCTGCCAAGCCACGGCGGCCGCAACGGACAGGCGCAAGCCTTAGCCTTAGCGGTTTGAAGGCTTAGCGCTGTGGTTCACAAACACTGGCAGTCGCCAAAGCAAGGCCTTCTTGTGAGAGTTTGTCTCAGATGAATCATGTGTGATGATAGTGTTTGGTCTTTTGCTCATGAGAGTGCGCGCCAGTCAGATGTGTCGACGATATTCACTGCAAAGTGGCGGTGGTGAAACTTCTAAATTTTGTGTTATCAAACGTGCAGACAAACTTCTCCAAGTTGAGCGGCGTAAAGCCTCGAAAAGCTGCTGCTTCCTAGACGGAGACGTTCTCACAAGACACGCCTCAACGAGTCTCACAGCAATAGAAAATTGTGTTGCTTCTTGGCGCCGGTGAGCGCTAAGCCACCAGCTTTTAAGCAACCGGTTTTCTCACATGAAGCTTTGTAAAGACCTCCCTGCTCATTTTAGCCCGAAGCCTTTTACGTGTCACAACTCTACTCCAGCGCTCCTTGAACTTCCAAAGAGCAGGGCCGAGCTTTCCTTGGTCTCCCATGAGTTTGGTGTCAGGATGCCACAGCGACGCCCATCACGCTGCCGGATGCCCAGCTGTTGAGCCCTGACCGGATCCAGCCAAAACCAGAAGGTGTCCTTGTCGCAAGATGGCTTCAGACTCCCGATGCCATCCATCTTATCAACTCCAAACTCCCGATCCGACCGCTTGCAGGTAGGGTCTGTGGGCACGTATAGACACATCCTACATTTTAAACCTTCTTAAACCGGCATCAAGCATCTCTACCTGTTGCCTCTTTTTCCGTACAGAAAGCTGAGCTTTACAGACAGGCGAAGCCGCGGACGGAGCCGCTCCCGAAAACGCCGGAGAAGAAAGGCAGAGGCTCCCTGATGCGCTGACTGCGCTTTGCAGCTCCCGGTGTTCGCGATGGACAGAGAGGCAGAGGCCGCTGCTGCCGGAGCGCCAGCCGCGCCTCCACCCGAGGTTCCGGCGCAGGTGCGGTCTGAGGATGTGAGGATTGGCGGGATCCGCTCGGACCCGAAAGGACAGCCCCCCGCAAGCTCTTGACTCCAAGGCCTCTGAGCCCTTCCGAGATCCAGATGCCAGGTTTGGTACGATTCCTATCCCTTGATCCCCTAGGCCCTTACCCCGCAGCCGCTTGTGTTTTTGAAGCGACTGGAATGACTGGAACTTTTCGAGGACCCGGGAATTCTACAAGCAATCTACGACTGGCAGGTTTTCAAACTTCATTCCGCGGAGTTCGGTGAAGCACTGTAGCAGCTTCGAGAAGAAAGCCGACAAGCGCGAACTACTGAATTGGGGGTAGTATTTGGTTTTGCAGTTTCGGTTTGGCTGGTAGAGTACCCTGAGTGTATGACCCCGCCCAAGTTCTCGGAGCTGTTGCAGGCCCCAGCGCCGGCGGCAGACGGCCACAGGCCTGCGATCCACACTTTGCTTGCGGCCGGTCGGTTTGGGGTTTAGGCCACTTGCAGGCTTAGAGGCGAAAGTTTGCTTTGTCGGGCCCAGCATTTGCGAGGGCCTTTCCCAAGGCATTGCTAACATCGAGCTCCTGCGGTGGGGATGCAGGGGCGAGAGCCCGAGACAGAGACAGAGAGAGTGAGACGGGGAAAATCAAACAGAGCGAGAGCCAGAGAAAGACCAAAGCTCAACTTGGGCCCAAATCACGTGTCTGGAGGTCGCGACGCCGGAAGGAGAAACACAAGGAACAGCGCGGGGCCCAGGAGTATGGGTCCACTTTTGTGACACCGAGTAGTCGAGTATTCTGACCGTGAGAGGCGTTGTGCAATTCAATTGCGATCCAGGGGTCTTGATTGTGTTGAGTCCCGGGTTGAGGCTTTGGGATGTCAGCATAGGCTCGGCCGCCGCAGTGCAGGCAGTGCAAAAGGCCTCCAGGCTGCTGAAGCGTGAAGTTTGTCTGCATCTCTGGAGACCAGAAGCGACTTGAAACGGCCAGAGCAAGGCCGAATACCGCTGCTGCTCCCCCAGTGAAGGTGCCATGATGCCACGGGATCGTGTAGACTGTGCACTCTGAAGTTCGACGGGGACGCCGGGGCCAGTGACTTTCTGTAGTTCAGTTGGACCTACCTCCATCTTCAAAGAGTCGCGGCCCGACACTCGTGCCCCTTGCTCTGGCAGACAGACTTCAGTGACTTCAGAGAACTCCCCGTGCTGCCAGAGCACCAACATGATCACGGTTTTTGGTTTCTTGAGACTTGAGGCATGCCCTAAACCTGCAAGCTTCTGGCTGGAGGAGGCGCCGCCGCCTGCCACGGCACAAGCACCCGTCATTTCTGAGGAGGCTGGCATGGCTTGGGACGATGGTTTCTAATGTTTCCTGCTTGCCATCGTGGTTCAAGAATTTGTGGGTGTTCGTGGCGCGGTCTGCTTGTCTCAGGAACATATTTGAGTTTGGGCGGATGGCCATGTTCTGGGTGTTGCAGGTTTGTGGTTTACTTGTGGGGTTGGGATCGACGCCTTTGTTTACTTCGCGACAACTGCTGAATGTGCAAGAGCGAGCTCCATTCGCGGTTAACCCAACCTTGCAATATCTGAACCGACCTCTGCAGCCTGACCTGCTTGCCGGGGGTGCATCCGTCGAAACCGGCTGCAGAGTAAAACCTTCAACTCATGCGCGACAACCTTTCTGTGAGTTCTGTCTCCATAGCCTTATTCTGCCAGCCGCACGGAATTTGTCTATCCCCAGTTCTGTGCTGATCAAATAAATGATGCCGACAGGCAGCTAAGAAATGCTCAACCTAAGCCAAGGGAGCCGTGAGAGTCAACTCCGACGCCTCGGCATCGGTTTGCTTGCAGCCTTCGGAGACTTGTGGTGTAGCATCCTGGAACATGCTTTTATCCATCGGGCAGTGGGCTCCAGAATTTCTCAGCTCCAGCAACACCTTGTAGCGGCCAAAGGAGCAAAAGAAGCTGCAAGCAGAGGTGGGTTCGGCACCCGGTCTTCTCACCACTGCCGCACAAGTTCCTCAAATCTGAAGGGCCGGAAGTCACTATGTGGTCAGTGGCAGCATTTGCAGGGGCAGAGGGTCTGCTGCATGGCTTCATGCAGGGTTTCTGCTCTCCTGGGAGTCGCAGTACAGCCTTAAGCTTAAGCCAACACGACCTAAATTCAAGCATCTTAGATGCCAGGTCCTGTCGGGCTCTGTATCGTAGGAACCAGTAGCTGTAGGGTGCAGGTGCAATTTGCCTGCTACCTCAGTCAAGCTTTCCATCTGCCCGGTAAGGCAAGAAGCTGGCAAAGTTGGAGGGTCTGTAAGTGGCCAAGCTTCTTACACCGCCATGACTGCACACGCCTTGCTTCAATCGCAAGTGGGTGCGCTTGAGGGCCTTTGAGGGCTTGAGCTTCAGGGTTTGGGCTCCGCTGGCCCGAACCTTTTGAGGCTTCGCTTGACCTGCCATACCCTGTGCTTCCCATCTTCCCAACTAAGATTTACAGCCCGGAACTAATTAGATGCTGCTGGGTTGTGGGCTTTTGGAAGGGTTCGGGTTCCCCAGGTTGGGATCTATAGGCCGTGAGAGCACCTGGTGCGAGCGCAGGTTTCAGGGCTTGGTGCTCAGGTCCGGATGGCAGGATTTGTGAATGCCATGCAGCGGAAACCGAGCTACAAGCTTTGCGAGCCCATGCGGTACCCTCCTCCTCAGGGGCTTTGATCGTGGCTGAAGTCTTTGAGCAAACTTCGCATCAAACCGTGGGCGTGATGTCAATGGTTTGTGTTGCAGCTTCCAAACTTTACAGATGCCTGAAAATGTAGGGCCGCACAGTGGCAGTATGTGCTGGGTCGCGCTCGTACCGAAACTTGCAGGTTCAGTGTGCGCGGACAGTTCGGGCGTTTGCGTGAACTCGAATCTCCAAAGCTGACTCCAAGAATGTGCCTCGCTCTGCTTGGCATAGCAGTTGCAGTTGCGCATCGGTGCGTCGCCAGAGCTTCGAAAGCCCATCTCTCTTGGCGAGGCCCAGTGACCAGTCCACCTGTGACATGCTGTCCGAGCCGCCTGGATGAAATGTGATGCATTCAAGTGGCTTTCGATCGTAAGTTTGTGGTAGACACAAATTGGAGCATCAGTTAAAGTTAGGTGTGGTCACCTTAGAACTTGTGCACTCTTCGGACATGGGCCAGTGAACCCGAAACCAAGCCATCGAAGCTGAGCGGGTTGTGGAAAGCTCGCCTTTTTTTATTTTATTCCCCAAACAGAGTGGTAACACTATGTGTGGGGATCCTGCGTTGGGTGCAAGGAAAATTGATTTCTGTCACCACGCGGCGCTCCTCCAAAAGGAGCTGCCCGCGTCCTACTAATTATTTACAGTAGATGCTGCAAATCGAGTCCCCGCGTCCTACCAGTAGCATGTGGTGCAGTGCATGACGTCCTATTATGAGGGCTCCTCATGCCTCATGCTACCAGTGCACAGGAGGCGTGATTGCCGCAACTTCGGGGAAAGCACTGTCTTCCTGGGTCTTGGTTTGTCCTTATGTCCTGGTGGTCTGCTGGTGGCGTCTTGGTGGTCGTGTCCCGGTCGTTGCTGGTGGTCTTTTTGGAAGGCTGCTGGAGCTCAGGACGCTTCAAACTCGTGTTTTAGAGCACAGATGTAGTGGTGCAAAGATATTACGCAGCGGACCGTCCAAACACCTGTTTTCGGGTACAGACGTAGTACGCGGAATGCTTCCCACGACGTGCAACACGGTTTAACACCCTGCATGCACTTGCCCGGAGTCCAACGGGGGGTTTCGGGTCGCGACAAGCTAGCCTACCCGGGCCTGAAAAAGCTTCTAGAGAAGCTTCAGCATTGGGCATTGAGATGCATTGAGCTCGCTTTCGCGCAAAGCCAAGGCTAGGCCTGAACCCTTTTCATAAAGCCTCGAGGCCCTGACCCGAAACCTCAAGATCTGAAGCCCCAAACTGAAACCTGATGCCGTAAGCTTCAATCTCGAACCCCAGGTTTACGGTCTGCATGCTGGTTGCGCGAAAGCCGCCGGCGGAGGCTCGTGGGGCCCACGACCCGATTGGTTCCTCTAGCTGAATCTCCCCGCGCCCTGCACCGTATTCCGAAGACGCAAACTTAAGATTTCCAACATTCGAAGAATACCGTCAAAGGCTTTCAAGGCTTTCTTTTGTGTCCAGCGAAGGTTCGTGCTGATCTGCTACAAGTCCTACTGTTTCACTGGGCCCTGAAAGTGTGGGTTGCGGGGTGGATACAGGGTTTTCATGGAGACTGCATCAAGATTCAGACATGGCAACCCAGACAAGGTGTTTGAAAGGAGTAGAGTCGTGATTAAACAAAACAGTTATCGCCAGGATCTAGCACAACGTGCAGTGAAGTGATCTGAAGCTAAATGGCTAATCCACGGCATGGAGTGGAAGAGCACCCAAGCCAGACACCAGAATAAATCACGATTAGAAGACAGGAAGAACCAAGAAGGACAGAAGGACCGACATCGACGAGGGTGAGAAACGGTTGAAGACCGAGAGTCGGATCGAAGAGCGGAAGAGAGGAAGACAAGACGTGCGGGTAATAACGGGACGGCAGAACAAGGACGAATCAGCATTTCCAACATGAAAAGGTCAAAGCATCATCCCACGAGGGACTGGATCTATGCCTTATACTACGTACTGGTACAGGAGCATATAAGCATGAACGAAATCGCGCACTGCACAGCAGAAGAAGGGGACACCAATGGAGAAGAGCAGTAGACAGGCGTGATGATCTTCCAAAACGGGATAAAACGGAAGGACAGAAGGACTCGGATCGGCAGAAGCGTCCTTACAACCCAGCCAAGTCCGAGTCGATGGTTGGTGCCTCCACCATGGGATGTTAGGAGACGAGGCGCAGGTTAACAATATGCAGTACTGTGAGCGGAGCCAAGGCGAACTCGAATCGCATCCGAGACATCAGATGAAGCTTTCAGAGAAAAGTTGGTAGAGTCCAAAATAGTCGGCAGAACGAGAAGTGAAGCATAGCAGCCGCTTATCGACCATAATAGGCCATCGCATCACTTGCTGGTACACCGGATACTGTCGGGGCTTCTTGTTGAGTCTGAGGTAGCACCCGGAAATCGGCATGATGACGTTCTCCAGCAGCAACAGCAACAAGCTTGGCGCAGCCATGACAACAGTGGTGCAAGGTGGAAAGAACCAGCAATCAGCGCCAGAACACAGGATTTAGTGCGTGGGCGGTGGCACGTAGCTTTGTCTTCTCGAGAATGCCACCGATGAGAACATGTGCTGCGAGTGCTGCATCTCCCAAAGTTGGTTTTGCGCTTTGATCACCAGGAAACCACGCATTTCACATGTATCATTCCAGAAACCGACGAAACCAGAGCACCTCCATGGCACAGCACATCACCTGTCCCAGGATCCTCAGTACCGCTTCTTTATGAGGCCGACATCGCACCCTAACACCCAGATATCACAAGAGCGTCTGCAAGTCACGGTAAGCGTCTCTTTGCCGAGTCCAAACGGCGGGGGGCTTGAGGCTCCAGGCCCAAGTCTTTACGTACAAGTGAGCTTCGAAGCAATATAGAGGCATCAGCAACAAACTGTATTGACATGACTTAGATTATATTGCTGAGGTCTGTCATACAAGCATCGTATGATTCTATCTTATCTTATTTTAAGTCAATATGATACGTACATTGGTAAAACAAACTCTTGCATCAATAGTAAATTCCAGTTTTGGTAATACTGTAAAATGTGTTACAAGTCATGCAGTCCAACGTTATACAAACAAGACTCGTATTGATGTATGATTATATGGATACTACATCAGCAATATGCAGAACTTGGCTAAGATGATAATAGACATAGACAACTACTCTTACTTGCGGCTATTACTTTTCAGTAAGGATGTTAGTAGTTCTTTCTATTCTGCTATGCAGCATATTGTCTACAGCATATGATTTCGTACTCTATTTTGTTCGAATATAATATATTATGTTATATAGGTTACATCATATCATGTGGTGTTATTTTCCATTCTGTCTTGTTTTATCATGATCCATTGAAATGCACACCCTGTGAGCTAGCATACCTTTGTAGATAGCAGTTTACTACATGAACTAACACTACATGATATTGGGTTATGTTATTTTATTTTATGAAGTTTGTTTGATATTGTACGGTTTTGTACACGCATAGTATGCACGTTGAATGATTCTTCCGTGTTGCACGGTTCTATACTGTGGTGGAGAAAGTAGCATATAGTTCAAAGACAATCTGGTAAAAGATGGTATAACCAAATACACTATAATATATAATATGGTTCAGTGTTATGATATGAAACTTTGTTTTATGAAAATGCTTTCTCAGAAATGTTTCAATCAATAATGTAACATAATACGACATAATATAGTTATCCTATAGTGTGTATAGATAGATATATACTTTGTGTGTGTATAGGTATATACGCTATATCTAGTAACCTGATAGAACACTGTATTATACAATAGTATTACCAAACAGAATAGAATACAACATGGTATGGTGTATATAATCTGCGGTAAGGCTTTATGGTATAATCTACTCTTCTGTACCGTCGCAGAATAGAAACAAATATTAACATTCCTAATTTAAAATAGCCGTAAGTAAGAGTAGTTGTCTTTTGACATATTAGCCAAGTTCTGCATATTGTTGATGTAGTATTCAGATAAGGCCAAAAAGAATTACTCCTACGCTTAAGGAGTACACATCAGCCGCACGATCTGCACGTCCCGTGAAACTGTGAACCCTCTTGCGAGGTGGAGACGGAACTGGCATCCTTCCTCGGCCAGGCCATTCTCTCGGTTCGCGAGTTTTGGGGAGCCGGGAGCCGGTTGAGCCCGTTGAGGAAGCTACGACCAAGATTGGCGTCCAGGGTTTACCCGTGTCTGCGCAGGCTTACCCGTGTTTTTCCCTGTGCAACCTGCTGTGATGAAGGGTCTCTGAGATGGGTTCGCTGTCCAGAGCACCTCTGTGTATGGGTTCCTGCCAGGAGTACGCACAAGCAGTTGCGGCGTGGTTCGTCAAGCACGCAGGGTTCCCAGAAGAGTTGTATATTTGGCTTAAAGGCTGGTGGGTATGGACGGATATAGCTGCGGGTTTCCAGCACTTGCTGAGTCTGAAATGCTTCTTGGAAGCTGCAGATGCGTGGTCAGGTACAATTCGGAATGTAGTGTGCCTCAACAAAAGCGTCCTCTGCTGTTTCGGGTATGAAGCCCAACAGGCGATGAGCTTTTTGATGCTGAATGACTGTCCTCTGTAGAACTCAGGGGTTTAGTTGACACATGAGAGAGAGAGAGAGAGAGAGTGTGTGTGTGTGTGTGTGTGCAGAAGTCGCTGTGCAGAGACTCGACATCGGTGTTGACGCCCTACTCTTGCATGATCTTTCCTGCTTGCAGTAGCGGCAGGGCTCAGTGTTTGAAGGAGAAAGAAGGCAACGGGGCTGGGTTTTTTTTCCGCCCCG